AAGCTCAGATATCAGAATAATAGCTATAACTGCCGTTTTTTTGTGGTAAAACAGAATATATTATATTTCTATGAGTTGTTCACAAGTTTTTTTTTTTTTTTTTTTTTTTTTTTTGGTAAAATATAGACCTTAAACGAAGAGTTATTATCCCTTTAATCGAGGCCATTTTGTTACGATTTAAATTATTTTTCACGTAAGGCGTTTATATTAGACCTCATATAAAGGTATATGTTCAGAAAACCGTTGGTTTATTTCACAAGAACTTTCATAAAAGTATGAAGATTTCTCAACTTACGGTTTAAGGGTAGAGTCCCCTGCGTAAGAAACACGTCGATTTCCACCTCTGGGTTCCATGGAGGGTTTGTTTCTAACTCCCAGGAAATAAAATACAACACTGCCTGTAAATATGCAATCTACCATAAAGATCGCAGGCTTCCATTTCGGTCCTGACATGGTGCTTTATAACCCGCGCCGTGCAGTACCAACTTATTTCACTGCTTTCCTTCTGATGACTAGCAATTACCTACCACCAGCTTTAAGTTTATACAGTTGCAGGTCGTAGATAAATATTTATAATAATTTATAATTTATCTTTATTGAAATATTGCAACCCAAAGGTTAAAGTTATACATATATATACTTTTTTATATATTTATTTCTAAATGAAATTTATTTAAATCTGAAAAGCCTGGTCATTTTTGGCCCTGTTGCACTCTATTGTCGCTCTCACATCCCTGGTGAGGATACAGCCCGGCTGCCATATTCTGATCTGTTTGCTTCCCAGATGAGGCCTCTGGACCGAAACGGCTGTAGGGCACAACACAATTAACATGCAGCAAACAGAATGATTTAGTACATTTTATCTTTCTCACTGTCTGTATATATATCTTCAATACCCATTTGATGGGATGGCTGTCAGCGAGTGCGTCGTCTTACTTGAGGACAGAAGTTACAAGAAAATGTACAAGAAATCGAGGTGGAGAGACAGTTCTGTTCATGTTTGGGGTGCTTTGTGTTCCATTGGTGTCTGCCAGTGGGTTCCTCGGGAAGAAGCGTCAACGCCTTGGCGTACAGGGACATCTTACAATATTGTTCGATCCCATTTCCACATGCAATATTCCAAGACAACTTTTGCTTGCAGCATGATACTGTTACCCTAATACTACGCCCTTGGCAATGGGCTTTTTAACGAAAATAACATACTGCCCATGGACCAACCTGCCAAAAGCTCCATGGTGCATTAAAATCGTTTTTGTTTTTTAAAATACTCTTCTGTATTCAGAAGAGCTAATTTTCAGTGTCCATATTGAAACCCAATGTATCTACAGGAAATGTGCAATATAACCTTTTTTTTTTTTTTTTTTTTTTTTTTTTTTTTTTTTTGATTAAACATATGTCTGCAACGATACAAATGTATATCAAAGAAATGTTGACATTTGTAGCAAAATCCAAATAATTTTTAAGTGTGAAAACCATTTTGAGCAACAGTGTACTATAAGCTTATATATAAAGTATTTTTAAAAACGCGTAAGCTTTCGGCTTATGCGCCTTCATCAGGGACTATTTTGAACAAACAATCATACTTGACGTAAAAATGCACGCATTAAGTCACGCATATTTTAGTCACGCAACCAAGAAGCATTGTACCTTAAACTGCACGCAGTCAAGCTCATGAACTGCCAAAATATCACGAAAGGAAAGACACTGAATTGATCAACAACGGCCTGTAGTGTGACTTAAGGTTTCTTTATTCAAAAATATTCGCAATAACGGCTACATTAATATTGAAGTCCAGCTCCAAGTCATGAAACAAATAGCAAACCCAAAAGCAAAAAGGTCAGAAAAAGAGAAGAAAAATAACTTTAAGTCAACTTTTTGCATTTCGTTACTTTCAAATTTCTGTGGTTCTATCCTCTCTGAGGTTACTAACCTCTATCATGTATGACTATGTATATGTATATATGTAGATCTGTAGATTTCAGTAAACAATGAAACTCAGGATGACTAACCCCCCCCCCCCCCCCCCCACGCCCACACACCTGGACGAAGTGAACTGCCATGCTGCAGATAAATTGTACCGCAGAAGTTTGCTCAGTACTCAGTATTGCCGATTATCATGATCACGTGTGCAGTAATCTCTACCATTCTTCTCGGGGAATTTTAATTTCTTATACCCTTAATCATACCTCCTGTTATATATACCAGTAGATACATTAATGTCTTCAATATAAGTGAATAATGGGTTATTTTACCATGCAGATATTACTACGTCTTACACGCAATGTATTTAAGTGGGGCATGTCTTATGTTATTATATGAAAGAATCAACTTCTACTTATTTGAAATATACATTGTATTTACACGATTGCCGCCCAGCAAGTACATCAAAATAGCAATTCATTAATATTGAATATCAGTTTAAAACAGGAACGTTCATGTAAAGGTAAGTAACAGTACACATCAAGCCCGATAGAACATTTGAAATATAACCTAACGTTTTCCCTTGTCGACCATGAAATCATCGTCGGACGCGAGGGAATCAAACTCCAGTTTGTCGTCAGCTGGGAAAACTTTTAATTCATCTGGGTCCACGTATCCTGGATTATCATAACTAGACCTTAGGTTAACATTGACGGGAGTTTCATATCCGGGATTCTCGCTCTTAGGCCTAACACTGACACCAGACGGCGTCGCATATTCTGGATTTACATTTTGTGGCTTCTCTTGGACGGTCACTGGAGTTGAGATGTTTTCATTCTTCTCTCCAGCGCTGCTTCCTGCAGGTACTGTGCGAAGATTGTTCGGTTTGGCTTGAACATTCATCGCTAGTGGCGTCGGGGTCGCGTACCCAGGATTGTCAAACGTGACGTTGCAGTAGTCGTTGTTTGATTCATTTGGCGTCCGATATACGATGGCTAACTCTGCCTTCAATTTTCTGTAAATAAAGAACGTATACATAAACCTATACTAATATAAGCATTAAACTATAATTTTTTTTTTTTTTTTTTTTTTTTTTTTTTTTTTTTTTTGCCAAAATGAACACTTATTAGCCCTTTAAGTTAGCAAGGGCGGCTTTAGGGAAAGCCTCAGGGAGGTCAAAGGTCGTCTTTTTGCCCCTTTTTTATAGCATTATCCAGAACTCGCGAGTGCAGTGTTGTGTTCTTTTATGGGTGGAGTTGCATATTTCCTTCTTAAACTTATACATTAGTATTTGAATATGTATGAATTTAGGCATTACCTTACTTGTCTTCTATAGAAAGAAATAACAATGACGATGACAATGAGAATCAGAAGAACACCACCAATGGCAAGCCCAATGTATAAGCCTGAAAACGAAACCGAAAGTTGTGAATGCGGTAATTACCTTCAATCATACAATTAAAAAGTGATACCTTGTTAGCTGATAAGTAACTTTTAAATGCATGACAAAAGAAAAAAGTCTTACACAATATTTGACAAGTGTGCATTTTTGGCTGTCAATATGTGTTACGAATGGTATCCCTATCAAAGACAAACACCTTTTGGCTTAACATCCATCCTCACAGGCACTACATTTTTTTTCAAACTGTACAGCCCACGTCCAATGCTAGCTACAGTCCTTACCTAGCATGTCTCCCTCCTTGACTTCACCTAACTGACTTTGTTCTGCACTCTCACCACCTGACAATACAAGACATTAAATTCCATTTTTAAAAATGAATATCTAAAACAGTTTAAAGCGGTGCTATGAATAAAGTTGCTGTTACACTTAATTAACTTGATAAAATAAAAAAATATCACACCACATGGAACCTTTTCACAAAAACAATATGTTAGCAAGGGTTTCCTCCTAAAAGATATTTTACCAAGGTTATGTCTGTCTCCATATAGTGTTTATTTCCTCGTTAGCATTTGTTAATCTCTGTCTACAACCCTGAGACACCAGGTGTGTCCTTTTAAGTCTTAGAAATGGGTTCTTGGTGGGTTCCTAGAGAATTGTACCATTTAGGATTGCCAAACTGGGCTCACAGAATCCACGTGTAGTAATTAAGTTCACCTTCAACTTCCAAATATCCCATATGGAACCTAAGTAAAACCCATACCAAAGCCCACAGACGTCCCCCTAGCCTTGTTCTTACCCAAAAGGTCTTCCTCTGGATATTTTGAGAGAGAAATTCAGGGAAACTATTGAAGAACACGTTCTAATCAAGCTCAGCTGAGGCCTTTATGGGGCCAATTTTGGGCACTGAGTACAGTTTGGGCTTTCAAATGTGTCTCAGTCCTGGAAAGGCTATTGGTTTTCCCATGTCGTCTGTGTAGTGCAGAGTACTTGGGTTCACAGTGGGCTGAATAATAGCTCTTATTGGACCTATGCAGAACCCATGGCTAAGCCAAACCTCCACGAAACCCAGTTCGTTTGTTTGAAAATCCACAATTTTGTCATTGGCATATCTGATTAGTTTGAAAAAATATTCGTAGTTTAGAAATCGACTTTTTATACCTTACCTGGTTTGGACCACTTTTCTGTTGTAGTTGTTGCAAACTTCTGCTCAGCTTTCGTGGTTGAGGGTGAAGAAGTCGATCCTGTAGCACTTGCTGTCGTTGACGACGTTGGTCTGTTAGTTGGAGTCAGTGTTGTTGTGGGTGTCGTGGCGATGGTGGTAGAAGGCAGTGTAGTAGTTGTAGGTCGTGTACTTGTTGTAGGGGGTGTTGAAGTAGTAGCTGTTGTTGTAGTCGTAGGGGTTGTTGAAGTTTTAGGGGTTGTTGTAGTCGGTGTAGTGGTTGTAGTGGTAGTTGTAGTAGGTGGTGTAGTTGTAGTGGGCGTAGTAGTTGTAGGTGTCGTAGTTGTAGGTGTTGTAGTCGTAGTAGTTGTAGTCGATGTGGTTGTAGTAGCTGTTGTTGTAGTGGGTGTTGTTGTTGTTGTAGTGGGTGTTGTTGTTGTTGTTGTTGTTGTTGTAGTGGGTGATGTTGTTGTTGTTGTTGTTGTAGAGGTTGTAGTTGTTGTTGTAGGTGGCGACATATCTGCAAGAGAATTTTAAATCGTCAATTAGTCCGACCTTGTATTTCTCTGCTCACAAAACTGCAGAGCATTTTAAAGATATAGTCCTGGAAGAGGCTATGACTTAGGTGTTCTGTGCATTTACTTAACATAAGGTTATTAAACCTACAGTAGTATACCGATTTTATATGATATAATTTTGATATTATATTATTTATTATAATATTATTTTGATATTATATTCCATGCACCCTGTCAGTAGCACGGTCTGTTGCAGAATTAAGCGATAATAATTAAATAATGCATGAATATGTATATATATATATATATATATATATATATATATATATATATATATAGTTTTAAAACCTGTAGCATCATTACAATCTCAAATACTCGAGAATGTGACAACCATTTTGAGCAAAAGTGTATGAAAAAGATGCTTTTCCAGCGTATACGACTATGTCTTCATAGCCATGTACCAAATAATATAACTAATAGATGTATGATAATACAAAGACAAGGGGTAGATTGGAATCATCAGATCTAGAAAAGAAAGCCGAGAACAGGGATAGATGGATGGTCTGAGGGATGTTATAGGTGGCCTTTGCTATAAAAGGGGCAACAGACATAAGCTTAATCCCAAGCATGAGAACAGCAAACGTATATATATATACTTACTGTACATACAGATGAACTTGTAGTGGTAGCTTAGGGTATTACATGGGTATGTTCCCCAGCGCCAGTTGTGTTCTCTTCTCAGCACCCCGCAGTCGTTGACGCGGTAGGCAGGCCAGTAACCATGGGGCTCGTTCGGACCCCAGTTGGTGTACGACCACGTGGCCCCTGATTGTGAAGAGAGAATGTTCTGTATATTTACGTGTGTGTGTGTGTGTGTGTGTGTGTGTGTGTGTGTGTTTGTTTCGGGTGGCTTGCTCTAACTCCCAATATGTACAAAAAGAGAATATGATACTATTCACTGTTAAATTCAATATGTGATTTACTGTAACTCCCATAGTGTACACTTCGAAACTTAATGTAGACCAGTAACCATGTGGAACGGAGAACGTTGTAAACCGCTGTAAACCATGTGGAGACCACTGTACAAATAAACGCAAAGAAGACAAAAACAACATAAGAGAGAAATGTTTGTAATTTATACGAGAAGGAGGGAAGAGAGCACGCTCACCAGAATTCCACTGCCAAGAACCTTCGCTATGCATGTCGTGCGCCCCAAACCACACCCCGTTATTGTCCCAATGCCCCAAACCGTTTAACCGGCTCCTAATGAAGTCCATGGTACTTTGGTCGTATATCTCCACCAGCATCCCCCCGCTATAACTGCAGTAGCTCTGGGCCTCGCCCCAGTATCTCTCCATGTTGACAAACTGGTAGCATTTATGGCCATAGGTATAAACTGTGTAAGCCAGGCCACTCGGGCACCTGTACAACTGACTGCCTGAAGAAGCAAATGTTACAGTTATAATTAATACGTAATCGTTTATAAAAGTTTTGATAAAAGTGTGTTAGACTATATAGTTTTTGTACATGATTATGGCGCAGTAATAAGTATAAACATATTTCAAATTGTGGCTGTACAGTAGTTTTAGTGGCGGTAATTAAGAAACATCTTGCTTATAGTCGTTATACATAAAAGTGTACTTGGGTCCAAATGAATTAATTAATACATACAAAGATAGATGCAGTAGTGGTAGTGAGGCAATGACGGAATAATTTAATCATATTCTGTGCTCAAATATATTTTCAATCACTGCCCGCTCACCATATTCCAATTACTTTACTCTTACTTTCTCAGCAGTGGAAAACTGTCTTGGGTTTGCCCGTCGGGAATTGGTGTAAAGAAACTGAGGGCAGGTGTAACAGAGAGTCCGCCCTCCATTAGATACATACATGTTACTGTTAGCGTGACGGCACTGGGTTCAATTCTAGGCCAGAGCTTACCCGTACAAATCAATGTCAACCGTTGTCGCCGGCGAGAGAAACCCCTGTGATACAGGGTTCGATTACCATTGATTATAGATTACGGAAGCCCCGTCTTAAACTTGACTCACTTACGTCAAGCTTACCCTAACCTGTGTGAATTTAATGGAGGGAGGATTATCTGCCCCTTGTCCCCTCACTTCCTCTACACCAGCCTAAGTCTTTTTTATCTCGTTCTTCCCTCAATACGGCCTCATTGCTCATGTGAACACCAGAAATAGCTCTTTTTCACCGCCCTAGTTACATGCACAGTCACAATACACCATGACCTAATACCAGCTAAAGGCCATATGAGTGTAATTCATCAGTGCCTGCGGCTGTAAACAGGTATTGTTAATGCCCCTGTTCGTATGCTTTAAGTACAGATATTATAGATGTTTCTTTTTTCTATTCTTTCTTTCTTTTTTCTTTTTTTTTTTTTTTTGGTAACAAAAAAGGGAATCTACGGTATATAGCACCAATAGCGTACGACTGGTTACGTTATCCCCCAACACACACACACACGCACACACCCGCGTGCGCACACACACAAGCACATACACATGCACGCAAATCTATCTGCTCACAAATAAACGAGTACCGATTAAGAGAGTCAAGCAGACACTGATGCGTAGACATGTATTACCGGGCAGTCATGAGAGAATACCTGCAGGCCCGTAACCAGCATTTTCAAAAGGGGGGTTCTTTTTCTGAAAAAGTGGACCTTTTCCCATAAATACTTCATGTACCTAGATCAAATGTTACCCAGAGTGGACCTTTTCCCAGCAAAAGGGGCAGTTCTTTCGAACCCCCCGAACCCACCCCCCCCCACCCCCCCCCGGCTACGGGCCTGACCCGCATACCTTCAGAAGAGGTACAGTACTCTCTACAAGGGTGACAGATTTATTTCACTTCAGATATTCACAGATATGTCAAGACATGGTGAAATGTCGGGTCTACTGGTCATGACACTGATTCTGAATCATTCCGACTTGGAAATGCTATAAAATTTTTACCTACGTGTCGGCAGAGAAAAAGCTCCACTTTCGTTACTTCCCCCTTTTTTATGTACACATATTATGCCTCTGGCTAATTCATCATACAATTCCCTACCGTGTGGCATAGGAAAAAGTACTCATAATTAATCGTTTCAGTGAGACGCTATTTTATCTATCGCCTTCGTCCATCCCAATACCAGGGCCTTAATAAGTTGTAACAGGAATGGCAGTCCTAGGAATGGAAGTCCGGGGTCCCGTCCAGTAAAATTAGTACAGGTATATTGTCGGAGTATTAGGGTAAATATTAGTAGGGTTTATATATATATATATATATATATATATATATATATATATATATATATGGAACAAATGTCTAGAGTAATTGGGATCGGGCTACGGTTCCTAGCGGGCTACCATGCCTGTCACACCGTCACTGCTAACACCACCTGCAGTGGGGGCATGGGAGACCTGTGGTCAACCCAACACATATTTGTTCAACACACATACACTATTGACCCAAGTGGACAAATATTCAGCAAGGCTTTAATGGTCAGTTTAATATTCAAATTTTTCATTTTTTTCTATAAAATCGTTTATCTACAGTTTGCCAAAGCCAAGGATTGCCTGTGTTATACATTTGAAAATTTTAACAATACTCAAAATTTGTATGTTCATTAATGTCTATTGTGTATGTTTACCCCTGTCTTTATTGTTCATCGCGTTTGTTAGCAATAGATCTACGTGGGCACCTATAAATGTAAACAAAGGGAATCCATTCAAGCTGTGAATAATACATAAAGCAATTAAGACCGAAGATCTAATAACCGTGAAAAGGGTAGCTAGTAGGGGTATAAAAGTTGAGACCCATTGTAAATAATAATAATAATAATAATAATAATAATAATAATAATTACCTTGGCCCCAGTATGATGTCATCAATAACAACAGAAGGCGAAACCACAGCGTGTACCCTGAAGCACTGGTCATTTTTGTCACGCTAGGGTTTTCAACCAAACGGAAGCGGTCTTAGCTGCTGTATTAGCTAGCTATAGTGTAGACTGTCTGTGTCGTAGAAGTCTATAGTGTATATCTAAGCTGTTTTTATGTGTACCGGGTATATATACCCTGTATGTCGCATGTGATCTCTGTAACTGAAAAGAGTATTCCACCCACAACAATGGAGTTCGATGGAGATGCAGTTGTTATCCCAAATATCATTCAGGGATTTTAAAACACAGCTGAGATCTTGAATGTAAAATCTCTCGGGCGACCTCTCAAGTCACACGGTGTATCATGCACAGTACCATAGAATCGAATCCGAATACGGTCAGCCTGGTTCCATGAACGCTCCTGGATACTCCTTAATATTCCATTAGAAATCGATGGTTTAGAACAGTCGAGCACCGTTGCATGCGACCTCCACACGTAGCATTACAGATGATATTAGTTCCTCGGGCGACGGTTTCTGTGTAGCACCGTTTTTCATTCACGCAAAAAATATGTACATACGCGCACCTCGTCTCACGATCGTACAGTACGTAACAGTTTTTATTTCGTAGTAGACGGGCTGTTAAAAACAAAAGCTGTCTAGATCATCGTTTATCGCTCAGACATCCCTAAACTGGTGTGCTCTGACCGGCGTATTTCACCTGACATGACAACAGTAGCAGTCCGTCCATAAACTGTATGTCGCAATAACGCAAACTTTCCTATGACTCATATAAATTCTATATCATCTTAAGCTTTTGTTACAGGTAGCTGCAAAGCGTTGACCCGAGCCCCAGGTAAGACGTAACCTGTGTGGAGAGTTTTAAAGAAGTATCTCGGGTTCGTTTACACCGAGGATTTAACCGAGAGAGGCTCTCGACCGAGATGACCTTTTTTTCACACTTTTGCCCTTGCGAAATCGCAGAATATAAAAGGTTGACTGCAATCATTAGAAGTTAGCCGCTAGACCATTTGCTGTGAATTTCACGTACAGCACCTATTAAGTAACACATTGATGCTTTATGGAGCGGGGACAAAAGATAACTTTGTGGTACTAATTAAAATGTATCTGTGTAGGCCTACTGTTTATCATTATTGTATTATTTTCATTATACTTTTTATATGTTTGTCTATGTTTTAATTTCTAATTATTGTCTTTTACATACTAATTTAAAAACATTCAGGTTTGTCACATGATAAAGTTGTCTCAGTTTTAATCCCATTTGACACTCAGTACTTTCTTTTGAACTTTCAAATTTATATGTCTAAAGCGTCAAAAAGAAGTATGGCAAGTTCAAAGACAAGTCGCGCTACATTTTGTTTTTAACATAAAATAAGACATGCTAAAATTAAGTGATATTTTTGATAAATTTTGCACAATTTGAAATAAGCTGAAGAAAAATATATTGTAGCTTGGGAGAAGTGTATTCTATATACGGTATTTTTAAGGAGAGAGATGGTGGACACTCAGTGAGACCGATCGGTGTGAACATGCTCGTTAAGTAAATCGTAACACGAAGAACACTTATAAAGGTATTCTAAGGGCGCCATTATTCAAAGAATTGGGTTTACATTTAGCATCGATGTTATTGGTTCGGAAGAATGCCTGCGTATTCGCCTTCGTGTCCTGGGTATAAAGGCGTCTTAACAACAAAGGAAGATGTCGCTAAAATAAGTCAATTTAACAAAGAAGACTGCAGCACGAAGGCGTAGTTTGTGTATAGTATATGTTTCTTTCTGTCACAGTTGTAAAAATAGACGTGATTCAGCTCTTGTAACAAAAGCTCTTGGTGAAATGAAAGCGCGGAGAAGGCGGGGAAGTTTAAGGGTAAATTTTGGGAAAAGTACCCACCCGATCGCTTTCTATACCCGCTTCATGAAGCACCAAGTGTTCATAAACCGTAATTACTCGCGCACGCACGCACGCACGCGCGCGCACACACACACACACACTAAGAGAGAGAGAGAAACATGAGAAAATGTAGTACATACACACGATTTAGTCGGTGATAATCTTTATAAAAACTATTTATTTTTAGACGTAATTAATATCATAAGATTTTAATTAAAATCATAAGATCAAAATCATAAGATTTTAATTGCAAGTTAACATCCTCCGTATTGACAGTACAGAGAAACAGCTGCAATACACCATTCTATGGATGCATGGATACTTTGCAAATTTTTATCAAACATATGCAGTTGTTTTGCATAAAGTTAGTGCCAATATAAGTCGTCCTTATTCTTATATCACTTGTTTCCCTTAGAAGCGACAATTCTTTTTATGTCGAAATATGTTAGAGAAGAGTCGCTTATTATCTGAGACGTTTTTTCCGTGATTTTTAACATTACTAATCTCTTTCACATGTTACTTCTGATCAGGTACTTGTACATTTAACAAATGTCGATTTCCAAGTAACAAATTGTCAAATTACTCGGGTTCACTACGCCAGTTTTGATTTTTTTCTTCCAGATTTCAGCTCTGCTGACAATCTTTAGTTCACAATAAATAATTAAATAAAATTTCCATCACATATTCACTTCCTTCCCATGGTGGCGGCTATTCTCTTCCGTATATCGGCTACGTTGCCCCCTTTAAATTTCCCAGGCGTCTTGGCTCTGTCTCCGTCAAACCCCATGGTGGTACTGGTACTGCTCATGTAGGACGGCAGAGACGCAGGTTGGGGAGGCGGGTGGGGCACGCTGTAACTGTTTCCCGTGCTATTGCTGCGCTGACCCGGACTGTCCTTGGGACTGTCCTGTCTTGCTACAGAGACCCCTGGTGACAAGCTTGCAGCCCGCTGACTCTGGCCATACCCAGCTGAAATCAAAATGATGAAGAAAATGATGCATATATATATGTAACAATTTCCCGACAAATCCAAATTCCCCGAAAATTAGAAAAAACTAATTCCCTCTACTCATGATTAATTGCAAGGCCCATAAGGTACCTGCATTTAGGCTTGATGTTTGATTGTTTGATACCATATCTGATTTTTGAATTACTTTGTACCTGTATCAAATTCTGAAGCTGTGCAAAAAAAAAAAAAAAAAAAATATATATATATATATATATATATATATATATATATATATATATATATATATATGTTGCTCAAATTGGTAATTAATTCTTACTTGCTGGCTTTTTATACTGCAGAAGCTCTTCTTTCAGTGCACTCAAAGCCTCGGTTAGTTCAAACCTTTCCTCACACTCTCTGCGTACAGTGTCCTGCAGTAAATCATTCTGAAAAAGAAATTATTATATCACAAGATGTTTTTTATTTCTCATTTTTACCATGAATCTAATGTTCCAAGTTTTTTTCTTCATTGCTTTAATGTGCTAGATAATAATAATAATAATAATAATAATAATAATAATAATAATAATAATAATAATAACATACACATGCAGAATTAACCTCAGTACCATATTAAACTTCTTTATCAAATCTTAATGATATAAAGTACTTTCGTGTGATTTTTAGAATCATTAACCAGTCAATTAAGCCATACTCACATCTTCTTTGGCGTTCGCAAGCTGCTGTTCTAAACTGCTGACTTCACCCCTAAGCTCTTCCATCATCTGATCCTTCCCCCTCAGATCTCCTTTCAGTTTGAGGACAACTTCATCACTTTCAAAATCAACTTTACCTAAATGGAGGTATTATTATAATTGTTAATTATGGTTAATTCTGCAGACACTAAAGTAAAACTTTTTTTTTTCTTTTTGGGCAACTTTTAACACAAATGTCACTTTTAAGTAGTGGTACATGTATACATATGTTAACAGAAGCTGTTAAGCAGATTTTTTTCATCACCGAAGTGTTAAAGATTTAGTGGTCAGTACCTTGAGAAAAGTGCCATTTGTAAAGTTCACCTTTGGACTTAAAAACTCCAATATCATTTCCCAATGTTTGTTTTTTCATTTTATAACAATACAATACAATAAAATAAAATATTCATCCAAACACAATCACCCCCCCCCCCCCAAAAAAAAAAAAAATACAAGAAAGAAATATACTTTTCTACTAAGATGCTAAAGTCAGCTATAATCTTCAGTTTTCTATCACCCTAGTCGCTCTCCACACCTAGCCTCTCTTCCAGCTCAGCTATGATAGTTTTCAGATTGCCAATCTCCTCTCTCAGAGAGTTCTCCATGTGTGTGCTGTTAGCTCTACACTCCCTGAGCTGTCTCTGAACCTCCACCATTTCAGCTTTGTGCTTACTGCCCAGCATGGTCAGTTCAGACTGGACCTGGAAGGGAACGGGATGGAGTTGGGTGCATGTAGACAGAGACATGAACCAGTCTGGGTTTTGTTCCTGTCTGAATCCACAGATTGTCATTCAGTGCATTCAGACAGAAAAGTAGAGTGATTTTTAAATAAGTTAATTATTATTTTCATTGAAATTTGCAGATTGTCTTTCGGTGTTGAACATACTGGTGTGAATTAACATCCCTGCACGAATGCCCACTGTTCTTGGGCACATTCACACAGGAATATAAACCCTGATTGCCTTAGGTCCATATCACACTTAGCATGTTCAGATACAATTTATGTTGAAACTTTTTTTGGTTATAAAAACATGTCAAAAGCTGACATAAATTATGTGAGTTGCAAGGCTGCATATACATGTAAAACTCTAATAAGCAAAGATACATGGGTTGCCAGCAAAATAAAATTTCCCCACACAGAGAAACATCTTTCCTACAGTAACTGTTGTTTCTTAAATAATTAATTGCCAGGCATCGAATGCTGGTATACTGGTTGGCGGCTGCATAATTCATAGCTTGACATTCAAGACATATATTGAACAAAACTGAGAATGCTTTTGTATTGTTTTTTAAAAACAATTTCTTATAAAGACATTAACAATGTTTTTGGGATATGCTATGGCATGGTAATAATCCTTCACCCTTAGTTTTATGAATTGCTCATATTAATCTATTATTTCATTTTTTAAATCTGAGGTTACTTTTTCCATGCATCATTTCTTTATATGTACTTTATAGGGTAAGGGTAAGCCTTTCAGCTCTGCACTAACATAATTTCATTTTTAAAAAATCAGTTATTTCTCTTATCAGATATGACATGTACAAATAAATATCAATGTATATAATTTACCTTTGATTCACTGTTTTTATTTTCTCTTACATATTTTTCCACCAACTCCTGGTGCTTTTCTTTTTCAATTTGCATTTCCTACAAGAAAAAACAATCAACTGCAGAAATTTCACTATAATTTATCAAACTTGGCCAGTCACAAAATTAACAACTGCTGGCTTTTAACAGTTTTAATTTGCAATGAGTGCCAGTAATAAATAAAAAATCGATTGCTTTAAATTAATACATTAATATTGTTTAATTAGTTTTATGTTGATAACATACATACCATGACAAAGTTTTCCTTCAACTTCTCCTCAAGTAATCTTATTTCAGCAGCATGTTTTTGCCTTTCTGATCTCAGTGCTTCTTCAAGCTACAGCAAATATATTAGAAATATCAGCTAGAAAAGTACTCACATGTCCTTCACTAATTAATCAATCAATTATTGGATCTCAACAACAGCTTTCAAGTAAGCCCATTTCTGGCCTCTCCTAAAAACAAGAATCCATCAGTAACCTTCCAAGTCAGGCTTTAGACTTACACCTAACAAAGACTCTACCATAACCTCCTTAATGGAGGAAATAAATTCTATCAAATTCCTGTTGCTGTTAAATTCACATGCAGAGTATGATTTTTTTTTTTTTTTTTGGTTGTTGTATTTATATACGAATGTGTAAACAGTTTTACTAGCAGAAAAAATAAGCACAATAAAGATGTCTATTTTAGAGAGCTGTTGACAAATGATAAGTAGCAGTATTATCCAAAAAAACAAATCTGTTCTCAAAATGACACATGCATACAAACACAAGATTACACACCCACACATACATATACACAAGAATACACACAAAAATTACCTTTTCTGGCCATTGTTCACTGTCCTGTATCTTCCTCCTAAAGCTGTCTTTGAGCTGCTCTATTCTATTCTGATGAGACAGGATCATGGACTCTCTAAGCATGAAACATAACAGGTGGAAATATTAGTATCTCTCAGCAAGCTACACCATGAAAAAAGGCCCTCATCACAGCACAGGTTAGTTGTTCTGAACTAAACAGCTGAGATAAGAAAAAGTGTTTTAAGATTAACTAACCTAAATATTATGAACAACATGAGAGCCACCAACGGTGACAGTAGCAATATTAATGCCAAGGTACAAAGGCCAGTTACCTTTCTGCCTTTAGAGCCATCAGCTCTTCCTGTGTTCTATAAAGTGCTGCTTTCATTTCCTCTGTTTTATCTGAAATTGCAGATTGAAACCCAAGTTGTGTTCATTAAGGTCTGTTTTCAGAAAATTAATTTCATTCTGACATTCACAAGCATTTTTGGTGTTAATCGCATGCAGCTATTATTTAATGACTGGTACATGTAGGAATTAAAAATAAAGACTGACTTGTTTAAGATGAACAGCATTTTCCTTAATAAGATCAACATCAATGGTTGGTTTCATAAAAGAACAAAAGTCAAAAGTCGAGGCTAACTTTGAAAAGATTTTTGGTTGTTTTGCACTTAGTAGGTACAGAATGATATAATGTCAGACTCTGTTTTACCAGAAATTAAGTAAGAAAAATGGCTATTATCTAAGAAAAAAATAACTGTATCTACTCTGCCTAATGTACATATGTATATTGATCATATGCCAATTTTTTATCCTAAATTTAGGACCCTCCTTCAGCTCAAGTTCTTTTTATGAAAACCATCTCTCATTATTGTACACTCACTTTCTGTGGCAGACGCCTTGTTTTTTATCTCCTGCTCAGTTCTCCGTTGCTCGTCAAACCTCTTTATCAGAACATCTCTTTCCTTCTCACTCATTGCTAGCTGTGCCTCAGCTGCCTTCAGCTCACGGGTGAGTCTGGTCACGTTAGATTCCGCTGTCTGGTCTCTTTTGCGCTGCTGTGCTATGGCGTTCTCGACTTCCTGGGATTTGGCCCTGGATCAAAAAGGAAGCACCTTAACTTCAGATCTGATAATGATTATATTTCATTATGATTTTACTGGTAATATATACTTGAATACTCTTGATACCTTAGTTGTTCTTTATACTGCTCTGCTTGGAAAGTAACTGCTCTGCAATCTGTGACAGACTTCTCATACTGGTTTTTCAGGTCTGTAACAAGAAAATCATATGTTAAACCTTTATAAGCTGGCACAATGACACGGGTCCAAATCAAGACTCAACAAGATCCTGCCATATCACAAAACATGTAATAATTAATTTAAAACAATTTTAACTAATTCACTGGCTTATTAACAATTTAAAAATAATTACTACTACATATTAGAAAATGTCCAACTTTCAACTCCATTTACTTTTTCAAAAACAATGGAACCAGTCTATCAAATTTTATTGAATTGTGTAAAGGGTGGGATACATGAGACATCCCACTAGGCCTCAAAAACATAAGCACTAGGTGATATGGTAATCAACTGGTGATGCTTTTAAATATGGAAAAGCTCTAATAAAAAAATCACACAAATACAAAATAATAATAAATATGATAAATTTCAAGCTCACTTGTGAACTCCTTTTGCAATGCGTCTCTCTCCTGTAACAAAATGGCAGCTTGGTCGTGCTCAGTTTTCAGTTTGTCTTGCTGTGATTTATAGTTTGTCACAGCGTCTGTCAGCTCTGCTAACTTTCCCTGTAACACCTGGTTCTCCTTCTCCAGCTCTGTGACTTTTGTTTTAGACTTCTGTGTTTCTGGGAGTAAACAGAAAATCAGTTAATTGTCAAGGATGGTGGCAGTTAATGTTTCACAAACTTTACTGAAATTAGCCCCTTGGCCACTTTCTGGCTTTTCACTCCAAATAGTTGTGGTTTTTAAAAGATTTTTCTTTAGTTGTGTAATGGTCATTAATAAATCATGGATTTATCTTGAAGTTCCAGAAAAATCCATCACAAGTAATTGGATGACCTCTAACTTAGGACATATAACAAATGCATGGTTATCAGCTCTCCTGCCCAAACCCGAAGTATTATATGTTCCATGCAAGACATGCTGAAACAGCTGGTCCTTAAAGTCTTGACCAATAAAATTTATAAAGACTGTTAGATAACTGTCTTCAATTGGTGTAAGGGTAACAGTTTTATGAGATGCCATTTTCAATTTATAGTCAGTCCAGCAAAAAAAAAAAAAAAAAAAATCCCACAAACTTTTCACAACCCTGAGTCCAAATGTCCATATGCCTGTAACAGGTTCAGCATGTCAGCCACACAAAATGACCTAAGCATACCTGAAAGTTCAGCAGAACAAATCTTGTGGACAGCGGTCTTGATCCTGGCAAACTCCTCCTTCGTGATGCGGTCTCTATGTTCAACAAACGTCTGGATGTTCTGAAGACTGGATTTCTGCTGTTGAAGGGTAAGTATCAAAGGAGGAAGACTTTGACGCAGGGAATTCAGCTGTAACCTGTATTTGCATAGTAAAAAAATAAATTAATTAAATGAATAAATAAATATATCAAATAAATGAATAAATAAGTAAATAAATAATATTTATTGAATGGGATACTTATGTTCATTCGTCTACACAAGAAATTAAGCTTTGAACAACAAACAAATAAATAAAATCAACATTTATCATTTAATAATTGATGGAATGGATTTTATTTCACCAGATAAATGTTTTTGCTGAGTAAAAGAACCCCAAAAATATTGGTTTAAATTTCACATACAACAATTTGCCCAAAACATATTAATGCTCAACTAGGCCAAAAATAGTTATCTCCTCATATTTTGGTATACATTTTGGTATACAACTGTTGTAGTAAAATAGTTAGAAAAATGCTACAGATAATGCATTAACACTAAATCTCAGATATAACAGTGTTCTTCCAACTTCAAACTTTTTTCAATACCTGCACTTTTCTCCATCTTGAATGCTTTTCCCAAGCCTTTCCTCCAATTCTTTTGATGATGATTTTAATCTGTTTATGTTTTCTTCTTTGTCGCTGACTTGTTGTTTCAGTTTGGACAAACTGAAATTATTATGCACATTGATAATTCCAATGTAAATGAAATTGTACACTGTGACAATGAAAACATCGTAATATAGTTTGATTTACTTTATAAAAATCAAGTTACAGCTGCACTGGTGCTAACTGGTTTCTAGAAAAATTGTTGAAGATAAACCTGCCAGAATAAGATGTGCTATAATGGTGAGCCCTAAATATTCCATCAAGATTCTTTCTGTCTTTTACAATGAGCTGAATGATATAAATATAATCACCATCAATGAAAAAAAAAACATTCCATAGTTAAGAGCACAGGCCACAATACATACATGGCATCTTTAGCTTCTATTGTTTGTTTTTGTTCTTCAAATTTATCCTGGACCACTTTGAGCTCTTGTCTCATCAGTCTTTCTTTTTCTTCGCATCCCTAGGAGTTAAAACAAAGTTCTGAATAATAATCAAGCAGTTTAGATTTGTCAGCCATTTTCATTTCAGCTGTTAACTCTTGCGTACCTCCAAAGTTCCCAACATGATGGAACTCAAAATGTGCAGACTTAAGAACCCTCCCTCCCCCCTTTACCAAAGAACTGCTTACTGACCTGCGCCTTTTAATGTATAAATCTCATTTAGATTAGTCTTTAGCACAAACTCTTTGTATTGATCATGTCCTTGATATTAAGGCAAATATCAATAAAGTTTCAATATACCAATATTTTTATTCCAGCCAAAATACAATAGTAAGTTTAAGTGAAAAAATTTTCTTTAAACATGGCACTTACTTTATAGCGCTCCAGCTCCTTCTGTGTCGCTGTTAATTTATCCTCTAAAGCCTTTATCTCTCGATGAATGAGATAACTGACACCACAGAACTTGCAAACCGTTTCACCACGCTCCATTTTCTGGATCTCCTCAGGGAGCGGGTGCTCGGGTGTGTGATACTCAAACTTCTCTCCATCTTTATTTGCCATTGCAGTCTTCATTATGGGGGGGGGGAGGGGAATGGAAAATTAATAAAATACAGACTGTATTTAAGTATGCCAACTTCATATGCATAGAGAGAGAGAGAGAGAGAGAGAGGAGGGGGGGGGAGGGGGAACGATAATTATGAGTGAGTTTGAAAGTTGTCTTAATATTATGAGAGAGAGAGGGGGGAGAGAGAAAGGGTCGGGGGAGAGACGTTGAACGTCGGAATAAAAATAAATAAAACTTTTTAAAAATACAAAGGTAGTTAAAGTAAAGAATCCACCTATCTGGAAGCTACTGGTGCTCTGTGCTTGTCCTTAAAAAAACTAACCTTTGATTCCTTTATTTCATTAGTGGACTGTAAAGTTACCTTCAACGGTCAACTTCCACTCTTGTCTGTCTGAACTTCAAAGGAGGCGGCCATGATGAATCCAATGAAAACAATTTCATCCGGGTACCTGGTTCTTACTGATGTAAGAAAAGTGCACAAACATTAGGTAATATATGTCACAAGTCTATCAATAGTTGTAACTGAGTCAGTAATTTAGAATTTTTTGCATAAGCTTATAAATTTTGCTAATATATTTATTTTTAAAACGGAGAACAAAGCACTCTGGGTAAAGCGGGAAGTATGGCGACCGAGAGCAGACAATTTTCTGTCATAGAATCAAGAAAACATATTTCTTTCCGTTACTGGTAAGGATATTGAATCAGCTGCGCAATTTATTTATTCGTGATATACCATACAACAATTGCAATTCTATGAAATGATATTAATGGAATGTAAACTTTGTGTTTTGGTAAAACAATTCATTTTCCTACGTTTGCTGTCACAGCTGCAATGTTTATAATTTTTCGGCTTTGGAAATACGAAAGCTTTCTCGACAGAATTTTCATATAATATTCTTACGGGTTAAACGAATGGTGTATCCAAAAATTCAGGCATTTTATTATTCATGTCGCAACTGGAAAACGAGAAGAGTGTAGTATTTGTACCACCACCACACGGTTTAACGTTAAAAAGTAACTTTGTACATTATTGTCACAACATACATGAGTATGACGGATGAGCCTGGCCCAATGCTTTACCATTGTCTTTGGCGATGGCAAAATGTATTATGTCAGAGAATGGAGGATTGCCTTGTTTTCTTTTCTTGCTTCCCATTTCTGATTTGTCAATCCAGACATGGCGCCCAAGCAGCAGTTGGACAAGGCAGCATGGCAGTGGGCAGAGACAGTGGAGCCAGAGGCAGTGACCTGGGATCATGTGGAGACTGCATACAGGATACACCTGAAACCTTGTAAACGTGGGGCATGCAGGTGTGGTTCTATTTGTAACCATTCTGACAAGGACACCACCAGTGTTGTGATGTTTTATCTGTAGTCTGATGGTGATGATGAGTCTGATTGATATGACTGATATTTTGGGTATAGGATGGGTATAGGATGGCAATTAATGATTTTATTCAATTAAATTAGCAGAATTTTAAATTTTCTTTTGGATCAGTATTTCATTATCTGGTAAATTTAGATTCTGTAGTTACCTCTAGTACATCTGCTAGCAACCAGATTAAGTTTTTGTCAGCTGGCCCAGGAAAAGTCTTTGGTCCAACAAATGTTCCATAATTGCTGGTTTTGAATATTTGGCTATTTTTTTAAAAAGTTTTCAGCATGCCTGATAATTAATTTCAGACGTAACTGCAAAGGTAACCCTAACTGTCTGAACTGTCTAGGAGAGAGAGAGTGGCTGGGGGAAATTGATGACTCCAACTGGCATGACATTGAGGATCCAGAAACAGAAAGACGAAAAGAGGTGATTACATTGGAATATTTTAATATTTAAAAAGGCACCCGTAAATTGAAATGTAGCTCAAAATCCAAAATTCAGTTCTAGATATGACTTTTACATTTTCAAGTAATTTGTGAGGAAATGCATATATATATTTTAAGTAATAACAAAAAAGCAATCTTTAATTCCAATTATCACATGATTAATAAATCAGTTTATTTATTTGTATTTCAGAATGCATTTGTAGGACTCAAGAACCTTGGTGCTACTTGCTATGTGAACACTTATCTTCAAGTTTGGTTTCACAACCCAACATTCCGTGCTGCAATTTATGAATACCAAGATGAAGAAAACAGGAGTGCACTGGGTAAACCATCACTCTAGCCTCTCAATTCAGTCCACTTTATACTAAGGCAGAAATATTTCTCACACAATTCTTTTATTAGCAGGACATACTTTAAATTTTAAAATTAAAATTTTCTGTCTGGTAGGCAAGAAAAAAATCATCTACGTATTTTTTAATTAGTTATCTCTATTCATGTATTCAATCACAGCAGTGTTTGTATGATGAACACAGTTATTTCAGATCTTTTTACAAAACTTCAGAAATGTTAACCAGAGGGTCAGCTGCTGACACATCCCCATATGGTTCTGTCAAACCCCAAAGTGCAGTGACCAAGTCCTCAAGATCGTACCATGTAGTCAGTAACAGTGAGGCTGTGACAAGCTCAGTTCAGAAAGCCTCCAGTGACAGCCAGCTTTGCAGAAGACAGAGCAGGTGTGAGTCCTCTCAGCCTCGGTATCAGAGTGAGGCTAATGATGTTGATGATGATAATGTCCAGTTTGTGTCCACTCAAAGTGCAATCAGTGACGGCCGACCTGGTTCCTCACAGAATGTGGTCCAGCAAGGGTTCTCACAGAGTTCAGCTGGTGGAGTTGGGTCAGTTTCGTCTCCAAGTGCTGCCACTGATGTACAGTCAGGGAGTGCGGTCAGTGATGTCCAGTCTGCTTCTTATGGGAGTTTGGTCAGTGATTTCCAGCCCAAATCTCCTTGTGGTCAACTTCAACTCATCTTTGCTTTGTTGCAGTGCAGTAACAGAAGGTAAGATTTCTCTGCAAATTAGATAAGAATTGGAAGTACAGATACACACAGAGGCATCGATATGTCCTGCATGTGTGTGTGTGTGTGTGTGTGTGTGTGTGTGTGTGTGTGTGTGTGTGTGTGTGTGTGTGTGTGTGTGTGTGTGTGTGTGTGTGTGTGTGTGTGTGTGTGTGTGTACGTGCATGCGTGCATCAAATAAACTATTTGCAAAGTTGTCATTGTTTCATCAAAGAAGTTTATGTTTGCTGACTTTGTCCTATTGAACCTTGTCTCATATGAACAGCAACATAGGATCATTTATTTCTTTATCAGCCACTGTGTAATACATTTACCAGGTACATCGACCCCTCTGGCCTAATCCACTGTCTGGGTCTGGACGCAGGTCAGCAGCAAGATGCCCAGGAGTTCTGCAAGCTGTTTATGTCCCTGCTTGAGGAGAGCCTGGCCACCCAGGCCAACCCCGCTGTCCGTCACATTGTCCAGCAGCAGTTTAGTGGACAGTATGCCTATGTCACCAGGTAGGATTAAGACTTTCACCAGGTGTGCCTAGCCCAGCCCGTGGTACATACCCAGTTGGTGGTGTTGCCCTTTAGATCTTGTAGTTGGTAGATAGGACGTTGTTTTGTGTGATAAGAATATTTAGACTTACGTGTACAGAGTCATTCTACTGTGTTAATAGTATGTGGTCTAAAATTATTATTATTATCATTATTATTATCATTATTATTAGGTGTCAAGGCTGTGGCAGGTGCTCTGAGAGGATGTCAGAATTCAATGAGTTAGACCTGAACATCAAAGGCCACAGAGAACTACCAGAATGTATTGAGGAATTCTTGGAGGTATTGCCATCTGTCACAAAAAGGGCTGAAAAATAGTGAATATAAATATATATACATTTTGCTGCTATTTTTTTTTTCAGTGCACTGGTATGTTTTTAATAATGTGAATTTTTAAAGCTCTGGTCTTTTGTACACTTGAATCTGATTTGATGGAAATCAACTGAAATAGCCTCACCCAAACAAGGCGGTTGACACTTAACATCATACAAGACTAGAAAGCATATATTATTATTATTATTATTATTATTATTATTATTATTATTTGAAACTGATAGGAGGAGAAGCTAGAGGGAGACAACCAGTACATGTGCCAGCAGTGCGGCTCCAAACAGAATGCAACAAGGAAGATCAGCCTGAGGTCCCTGCCCCCAGTTCTGAACTTACAGCTGCTTAGGTTTGTCTTTGACAGGTAAGAATACCTGCAGCGCCTCAGGTGTGTCTTTGACAGGTAATATATGCAGCTTCTCATCTGTGTCTTTGACAGGTAAGAATTCAGTCCATTTGATATATTATCAGGCATGTCTTTGACAGGTGAGAATACAGATCATTTGATATATTTTTTTCAGGACAACAGGACACAAGAAGAAACTGAACACATACATCCAGTTTCCAGAGATATTAGACATGAGCAAGTACATAGAGCTGCCAGGTATGGTATTACACTGGTGAGATGGTAGTGCTATTTCAGATTCTGCAGTTTTAGAGGCCATTATAAGAATGCATTTAGACACTGTTAGTACTAAATCATATTATTTCTTTACAAAACCTCAATTTACTATACAGAGAACACTGCAGTATTCCGAAGGCCCTTTTCACTTCAAGAGGCACAGCTTCCTATACTACATCAGTCCACGCTGGTCCTAATGTGTTATTATGCTACAGCTGTTTTCTCCTTTCACAAGCCCCAATGAAACTTAATCTGGTTAACTGGTCGTGTTGATCACAGGGAATCTGTTGAGGTGACTCTTCTGTAATAGCAAAGCTACTAAGTTGTCTGTCTCTCAATCTGGGGTTGTATACAAAACTAAAGCTGGATGTGAAAAGGGCTTTTATTTACTATTTTATACCGCAGTGTATAGTATGATCTGTGTGCAGTGTCAATACGCAATGCCTACAGTGGTAAATATATAAACATATTATATATATTCATACACTGATTTATACATATGTACTATTTCAGAGCACAGTGTCCAGTATGATCTGTGTGCAGTGTTAATACATAGAGGCCCCAGTGCCTACAGTGGCCACTACATAGCACACATCCAGGACAGAAGCAGGGGCACCTGGCACAAGTTCAATGATGAGGAGATTGAGAAGATGGGAGGAAAGAAACTGCAGCTGGGAAACGAGGATGAGATCCCAGGTAAAACTGGAAAAGGACTGAGAGTTTACCGACCTCTGCCAAAATAAATCTCATTATTAGTAAAAATTGATCAGTGGATCACCAATAAAATCACTTCTGGCCCATCTTGAAAATCCTTTTAAACTCCATCAATAACTTTTTGAATTAGGTTGTTATTTGACAAGCCAACAAAGGCAAATACGAAACTTCCCTGGTGAAGGTAATTATGCTGTTAGTATGTAAATGAATAAATAACTAACCAAGGAAACTACAGAATAGAAAGATAAATGATAAGTAATCTCTTTAATTAAAAATCTGATTAATTGATTGACCCATTTAAATGTAACCAAGATGCTGGTAGTAAGGGGCCAGCCAAACCCAAGGCAGCCAAAGGATACCATGCCTCCAGAAATGCTTACATGCTGGTGTATAGGCGAAGAAACATGGATGGTAGTGACAGGGAAAAACCTGAAGGTTAGTGTATGACTTCTTGTACAGCCTGGCTTCTTGTGAAGGAATGCTTTTTCTCTTGTGTCACCAGGTAACAAGGTTCATTTATTTATTTATCTATTTATTTATTTAATTATTTATTGAACTATTTATTAATTAAGCTGTTTATTTATTGATTAAGTAATTGAATTGAATGATTTATCAATTTGTTGCTAAATTTTTATTTATTTATTCATGTTTTTTTTTATTTAATATTTATTCATTTAATACTTATTTAGTATTTATTTATTTGTTTAATATATATTTCAGCAGGTGCAGATATCCAGATGCCGGCCTGGCTGGAAGGATGTGTGCGTAGAGACAATGCCAAGTTTGAGGATTGGGTCCAGGACATGACAGTGATGAGGGTAACCTGACATATTGTGCCATATGGAAGCAAGGCTTTCCCCAGGGAACAGTTTGGTTGTCATTTGGACGGCCATTGGCCTCCAAAGACAGCCTATATTTTCAAAAATGGCTAAACGGTTTATGAAATTATTGGGAAATGATGGTATACTTGTAGTTGAACTCCCTGTAAAGTCATGACCAAGTTACAGATTACCATTTTGTACTCCCTCCACCCTAAATCCTGGGGAAAGCCCTGTATGGAAGTGGCATATCAGGGCTCGACACTAATGACTGTCCGACTGTCTGGGACAGGCAAAAGTTCAGTTCTGACAATTAAAGCTGAAGGATAGGGCATGCTTTACTAGTATTTTGGAAAGGTGGTCATAAAAGTTAGTGTCAAGCCCTGCATATTATATTATCTTTGATTTTAAAACTACAATTTAAGATGGGTTAACTTAAAGGTACAAAGGTTACCAAAATGTTCATTCATTTAAACATTGCAAGAAAAAAAAAGTAAAAGAAGTAAAATGTATAAGAACTAAAATGTTAAGTTTAATATTGAGTATTTATAATTGTAGGATAAAAATGTAGCCATGGGTCGGGCCAGACACCAGGAGATTTTGACTTTATATGACAAGATGCAAGTAAAAGAAGGTATGTTACAGTGTTTTGGGTGAGGGGAATTTTATATTAACCTTTTGACTCTTATATAAACCTTTTGACTCTTAAGACTTGTGAATTAAGTGATTGATAAATTAAAATGATATACACTTTGGGCATATTGTTTAGAAACTTGTAAAGCTTTTAAAGATATTCTGGATAACATTTCTCTTGTTAACTTAAAATTATTTTTTATTCATATAGTAATAATTGAAAACACAGTAGTCAGAAAAAAGGTTAAGCACAATTGTCTTAACTAATCTATAGACTCCTTGAGTTGAAGGAATGATTGAAACAAGTTTTGTTAAGTATGTGAAACTCCAAATATTATTCAATTAAGTATAATGAATTCTTTTTTCTTCTTCTTTATCAAACCATTATACCATCAGAACGTTAAAGAAGATAATCATGATCAGATTTGTTTGGCTTTGATGTGTATTGAGCTTTTTTCCATTAATATTGATACAAATTTATGTGAGTGACTTACAGTATGGTAGTGAACCATCATTGCTCCAGGTGCAGACTTTGAGTGGATCGAGACAGCTTGGGTGTCAAAGTGGCTCCAAGATGACCTCCAACCTCCAGCAGTAGATAATACAGCATTGTTGTGTTCACATGGAAGGTAAAGGAATGTGTTCTTTTGTCTCAACTAACACATTTATTGATTGGTTTATTAATTTTTTTTTTTTTTTTTTTGTCCCATTTGATATTTTAGTACCACATGTGCCTGTCAAATATGTTTGGGAACATTGATTTATTTCTTATTTTGAAAGATTTGCCAGTAGGATATTGTAGTGGTTTATGATAATATTACTGTATCATATTTTTATTATTTTGTCCACAGAATCAATCCAGACAAAGTTCCACAGATGAAGTGTATAAGTGTGGAGGCAGTAAGTGATTTCTTTACTGTCTAAAATTGCTAACACACAAGCAGAATTCCATCAAATCAAAGTCTGTATTATGGATTGCATTTGACATTAAAGATTTTTTCTAATCATCAAGTTCATCATTACCTTTAAACTTAATGAAAATTACTTGTCATCTTGCAATTTTATTTTCTAGAATGTGAATTTTCAATGAGACACACAGAAAGATCATTTTATTTGTATATAATTTCAGGCAGAGACAATCTATGCCAAATACAAAGGGAGCCCAAGACTGAAAAGGTAGATTTTATAGTGTTTGGGATTGAAAGGTCCAACTTCATTGCATAAAAAATTTATTCAGGAAAGCACTTACAAGTGAAACCTGGAAGTACTATTGTAATTAAAATGAAAGTTATTACTTATTTATTAATTAATTATTTATTTATTTGCTATTACCAGCAGTCAAATGTGTCTAGACTGTGTCAAGGAGCGGTGTCGAGTAATCAGGACAAAGACGAGAATGACTGAGGACAACAAGTACATCACAGCTTTACTGAAAAATAAAGTGCAAGTGGACGGGTATGTGCACCATGGCAGAGGTGGAGACTGGCCTATTGCTGACAGCATTCTGATTTTCACAATTTGTTAGATTTGTGTAAAATATTAATAAATTCTATGATTTGAATTATTATTTATTTATTTATTTATTTTTATTTTTATTTTAATTTTTATTTTTCTTGACAGGTAATTTCTTTATATTTCCAAAACTTAAGCATAAGGTATGGCTGTTAAGTTCAGTGGTTCTGTCAAGGGGTTAGGGGGAAGGATGGGGGGAGGGAGGCTCTGTTTAGGTGACTCTCTTACCTAATAGCCAAGCTGTAAAGCTGTTGATCTCTTAAAGTGGACCTGTCCAGTTAGATGTTCCTCTCAATTTATAAAAGGGGCCCCCAAGTCTGATGCCATGCTTTAGACCTAAACCCATTTTGCCCTATGTCTGAATACCTATTTCTTACTTTAGACCAGGCAGCTATTGGGTGGGCAAAGCTTCCCTGAGAAGTTGGAAACGCCTCGTGCTGGAGGATCTGGAATCCAGTCTTTTAAAAAATGGTGCTAGCAGCTTGAATGATGAAAACCAAGATGAACAAATTTCTTTAAGTAAGTGAAATGTTTCATTGTTAGTAACTTATAAAATGACAGAAATAGAAAAAGGTGTGAAATCGAAGCCTTTCAAAATGGGATCAGTGCAGAGTTATCAGATTTTGTTGGTTGCCTTTTAATAATTAATTAATTTTTCAATTAATCAATAATGAGAATTGAGCTGCCTTGGTGGAGGTTTGTGCTTTCTGGGTAATTTTCTAATGAAGCGTCTGTTCTGCAGGTGGTAAATGTGAGAGAGACTCTATGGATGGTGATGGTCCTGATACGGTTGGATTCTCCTTCAACGAAGATGCTCTATGTGAAGCACATGGTATGTTTTTTACCAATGAGAAATTTTCTAAACACAAGCAGTGAAAATTTTATGCTTTGTTGAATTGCAGCCTCCAAGACTTTCTAAAATTGATAGATAAAAGAGTTAGATATATGCCACCCTTAATTTGCCTGTGGTTGGCCATAAGTTAATGTGTTAACCTTATTTATGTTTTGTTTGTGTGCATATAACAATGTTTGGGTTGCAATCACATTTGTTGTATTTTTGTAGGCAATCTGAGTACAGATGATGCGTGTAGGCGGTTGGTTTCGTCAGATATTTGGACGAGATTGAAGGTCTATTTTCCCCATGCACCAGAGTTTATATACGGCACAGAACCCTGTGTAACGTGCATGGTGGGTTACTACTTATTGAAGTAAAATTTAAGATTTTTATCCTTAATTTTTTGGAGCCTGAAGTCAACACAACTGAATTTTCTTTGAATCCTCAACAGTTTTCTCACTATCAAATTATTACGTTTCAGAATCAAGTTAGCCTTATGAATTTATGTTTTTCAGGTGCCTTTTTACTTAGAAGTATAATTATGGAAACCTGGTAAAAAGGGCACCTCTATTTTATTTTCTATAAGTTTGTTGTCTTCAAATTATATAGAATAATAATTATACCTGAAATTTGAAATGTTTTAGCAAATCCAGAGGGAAGTCCAGGAGGCTCAGAGATTGAACAAGACTCTTGCAATGACCCAGCGCAATGCACTCTCTGACCTGTTCCATTCTCGCAATCGTCCTGCCTGGAAGATGGGACTGTCGGCGCTGAACATTGTTAACAGAGGGTTCCTGGAGCAGTGGACAAAGTTTATCAGGTAAATGTTATGGACTATATTGTTACTTGTGTGTAAATGTTATGGATTGTATCTTTACTTGTGTGTTAATGCTATGGACTGTATCTTTACTTGTGTTTAAATACTATGGATTTTGTCTTTTTTTTGTGTATTTTTTTTTT